TGTGTTCAGGGCGGTGTGTTCAGTGTGCTGTGCTCGCAGGGTGGTGGACAATGAAGGGACCCTCCAGCTGAAGAGGAGCTTCCCGATCCTGCACAGCTCTCAGCCCCTCCACAGCATCTTCTGTCCCCTCATGTCCTTCCGGCAGGGGGCCTGCGTGGGTGAGTCGCTCCGCTCCGCCTCGGGGGACCTGGGATCGGGGGACTGCAGCGTACCCACTGGCCCTCTCTCTCGCAGTGACCGGCAGCGAGGACATGTGCGTCTATTTCTTCGACGTGGAGAGAAGCTCCAAGGCCATCGTGAACAAGCTGCAGGGCCACAGCGGCCCCGTGCTGGACGTCAGCTTCAACTGCGACGAGAGCCTGCTGGCCTCCTCCGACACCACCGGCATGGTCATCGTCTGGAGGAGGGAGCAGAAGTGAGGGCGCCCCTCGTCCCGACCGCACCACAGCAGGACTGGGGCGCACCCCACCTCGTTACAGCAGCGTGATGGCAGGACTGGGGCCCACCCCTCTCATTCCAGCGGTTCCGCGCCTCCCTGACCCTTTGCTGTCTCGGCGCTGGGGACACAGGCCTGCGGTCGGATCTCTCCTGGCTCCCGGACTGCAGAACATGAAACACTATCACTCCCCTCTCATGTCCCTGGTTTTGGAGTGTGTGTCGCTGTTCCAGGCCCCCAGCAGATTTGTGAAAAGAGTGATACAGATACTCAGACGTGCTCCTGCCGACAGCTACATCTCGCACGGGCTCACAGCGGCGTGAGTCTGCGTGCTGGTGCAGGAGTGGCTGAGTGCAGGGAGGCATCAGAACCCCACGTTTAACACACTGTAAGAAATGTGCATGCCACAGGAGGAAAGGATTAAAGGATTTCATTCTTAAATAAAGGCTATAATTATTAAAAGGGATTAGCGATTTTCCTATTGTTCTTATACTGAATATTTATAGACTTGCAAACCAGATCGATTCCTGAGCTTCTGTCAGTTGTATGTGACAGATTTTACCAGTGTGGTGCAGAAACTTTCCAGAATAGTGTAACATTTTTATTATTTCATTTAGGAAGGGAAAAGAGTACATTTGTGAGGTAGGTAAGGATATTTTGTGCCTCCTTAAGATGCTCAAACATTCCTGGATTTGTTTTGCTCATTTGTTTCATGTTGCCTGGAATAAAGAGAAATATAGAAAATCGGTAATACACAATGCGTCTTGAAGGTTGATGTAATTCCTAAACTAGTGTAACTTTAGCCAAATGGTTTGTCAGGTTATTTAAAGATGAGTGTGCAGAGGCAGGCGTGTGCCGATGAGAATCCGGTCCAGGATCCGGTCAAGATTCCGGTCCAGATGGTCTGGCTGTACAGATCTGCTTCAGCTCAGTCTGCTTCCCCTGAAAGAGACCGAGCCACAGGGCCCACAGTGAGTGTCCTCGCCTCACAGAAAGCAGAGGCCTGTCACTGTCATTACAGCTGTACGTGTCCGTCCAGGTGGTGGAGAGCAATATTAGAGAACAGGTCATTTCCTTCAGTATCCATGATACTGGACTGTTCAGGCAAGCTTTCCACAGCGTGCTGGAGCCACTCGGTTCCTGGAGCTCATCCCAGGAAGCCCTCGGACCTTCTGTTGACACTGCAGGAGAGCACGTCTTGCCGGGACCTAGATGGGCCAATATTATTGTTGCCTTAAGCACTGGTGTTATCATATTGAAGGGGCTTCCCTAAGTATTTTTGGGCTTGGGACACTTGTCTGAGCCACTGAGCTGGTGTCTGTGCTGCAAAGGCAACTAAAAGAGGCCACATGGCCACAGTGTGTGGTCAGACTGGACTTGAGCCCCACTGAAACTGTGCTGTATTCTCCTGGGCTGACACTAGAGGGCGAAAGCTAGCTCCCACCCTGGGCCGATGTTCAGCTTCTCCTCGCAGCGAAGGGCGGTCCACAGCAGACATCGCTCCACAGAGCGGGGAGGGAGGGCACTGGGGTGGGCCGCCCTGCCTCCATTTCTGAAGCGGCAGGGGCTCCCTGTTCACCCAGAACCAGTGGCCCAGGAGGCTCCAGCTCAGGCCCAGCCAGACGTGGGGCGGCCAGGCTGCCGGCTCGTTCCTGCTCCTCCTCCCAGATGACGCTGGAGAGGCCGGAGTAGCTCAGCCTGCAGTGCCCCAGGGCCTCCTCCCAGCTCTCCTCCTCCACGAGGAAGACGTCTCGGATCACTGAAAGGAAGGAAGGCAACAGGCGGTGAGGCAAACGTAGGGAATTGTCCTTGTCCGTGTGACTGAGCAGCAGCCGGCGGTTCTGGCACCAGGAGCTTCCCTGACTCCGAGGCCTGGGGCTGGACGCTCTTACCCTTCGGGCAGATGAAGGGCTGTTTCACACTGCACTCGCTCTCCTTCCACTGGCCACTGGGGCGCCTGCTCACACATTTCTGACTGCTGTCCAGGGTCAGAGAGCAGGGTCTGCCACTGTACGGCGCCCCTGGAGCAGCTGGGGTGAAGGGCCTTGCTCAGGAGCCCAACGGAGCAGGATTCCTCTGCCGGCTGCGGGATTCCTTCCACAGGCGCAGATCCCGAGCCACAGAGCCACCGCTCCGCCCCTAAAAAAACCTTTCCCAATGCATTGACTGGGAATTGAACCTGGGTCAACTGCTTGGAAGGCAGCTATGCTCACCACTATACCAGATACACACAAATACTAATTTATTTGTACTAATGCATGTAATAGAATTTGAACATTTTTGTAAAGTACTCTGAAAATGTATTGTTGGCCATGGTCGGTAATAGCGTTCCCAAGCTGTTGAATGTTGCATCAAGGGTGCTATTAAAATCTCTTGAAATTAAATGTGTATCCTTCGTTTAAAACAAGGCTTCTGATGCTGTGGAATACACGTCTCGCACCAGCGCTATCAAGTCTATCAGGAGCTGCTACAGTGTGTTCGGGAAGGGGAATCCTGCATGATCCTTTTATTTGGGGAAGGAGATCCAGTGCTGTTGATCCCTGATTTCATTTTGCAGCAGTGGGTGATAAAAGCGGACCGGAATCCGAGAAGGAAAGTCGCGGGTTTCCGGGGCGGAGTCGTCAGTGTCCGAACAGTAAAACCAGTAAAACCCTTTTATAGCACGTTGCCCGCAGAGCTCTCCAGGTTCCCTGGTAATGGGTGGTGATGGTGTGTCCAGCACATCCTCTGACCAGTCTCAGCAAATCTTTCAAGTCTTGATAAAAACATTTGGTAAATGAACAAAAGCGCAAACAAAAACAGCAGGTATTATTATTATTATTATTCTTATTGCGCTTGCGCATGCGCGCCGGCTGCGGGAGGAGGTCACGGCGCAGGAAGAGCGTGCAGCTGCAGTTTGTGCAGTTTGTGGAGTTTCTGCAGTTTGTGCAGATTGTGCAGTTTGTGCAGATTGTGCAGATGCGCCGTCTGCAGCGACGGGTCCCGTCGGCAGCGCTGCAGGGACGCCCTGAGCGCCGTTCTTTATTTTGTGTTCGAGTTGCTCTGCCGTGCAGGTTCGTGCAGCAAGGCAGCCTGCGGGTCCTCTCCGGAAGGAGGACGGGGGAAGGTGTTGGGGAAATGGATTCAGAGCACTTCCTCTTCGTGTCCTGAGCTGTCTTCCCTCGGGCCTGGTAACGTTAGAACCGTCTGCAGGGGGGAGTCGGGTTTCGGTAGCCTGATGCTGTAGTGCTGGCCAAGGTCTGTGGTGTCGGGCGGTGTGTTTAGGGGTGTTTTTGATGCATTTCGAGACAGATCCAGTTTGAAAGATTGAAGATTTTTTTCGTTACGGTCTTCCAAACAACACGCTGGAGTTCCAGAGCGTCACGTGAGCTGCGACTACAAACACTAGAAATGTGAAAACCCGAGTGTAGCGGTAGTTGTGTTTATTCTGTACTGATTCTGTACGTTTGCTTCTTCAGCTGGACATCAGTCCGCGTGATGCTGTCTGTATCGGAGAGTCGAGTGTAGCTTGATGTATAGGATGTCGACCTGGAATTTGGACTCTGGGTGAATTATCTGAGACAAGCACCTGTACCAAAATTAAGTATAATTATATTAAACGTGGGTGTGTCCTTTGCAGACAATCGCAATTTCACAGTTTGCATTTTTGTTAGTGTGTGAGGACTGTTCATTGCACAGGGTGAGGTGGTGCTGTTCTCCAGAGAGCTGCCCCAGGAGCCCCACCTGGGAGACACTCAGGGATCATTCTGCACCAGCAGCCCCACCTGGGAGACACACAGTGGTCATTCTGCACCAGCAGCCCCACCTGAGAGACACACAGTGATCATTCTGC